TTCTTATAAAATTAGCTTCTTATAAAGCTCCTTATAAAGCTTCTTATAAAGCTTCTTATCAAGCTTCTTATAAAGCTCCTTATAAAGCTTCTTATAAAGCTTCTTATAAAGCTTTTCATGAAGCTTCTTATAAAGCTTCTTATAAAGCTTCTTGTAAAGCTTCTTATAAAGCTTCTAAGAAAACTTCTTACAAAGCTTCTTATAAAGCTTCTTATACAGTTAGCTTCTTATAAAGCTTCAGCTTAAAACTTCTTATAAAGCTTCTTATCAAGCTCCTTACAAAGCTGCTTATAAAGCTTCTTATAAAGTTTCATAAACCCGGAAGCCCCTGAAGCCCCTGAAACTCCTGAAGCCCCTGAAAGCCCTTAAAACTAGACGACGAGTGGCCCGGAAGCATAGAGGCAAGTTGATGCAGGTGAGGTAACTCTTGCCAAGTTAGCATGAGGAGTTGGCAGGCGAAGCAATTCTCAAAAAGTTGGCATGAGAAGCTGGCAGGTTAAGTAACTCTCGAATAGTTGGCTGGCAAAGTTGGCGGGTGAAGTAATTCTCGCAAAGTTGACATGAGAAGTTGGCAGGCGAAGTAACTCAAGAGAAAAGTTGGCATGAGAAGTTGGCAGGTGAAATAACTCTCAAAGAGTTGGCATGAGAAGTTGGCAGGTGAAGTAACTCTCGAAAAGTTGGCGTGAGAAGCTGGCAGGTGAAGTAATTCTCGAAAAGTTGGCACGAGAAGATGGCGCGTGAAGTAACTCTCGAAAAGTTGGCGTGAGAAGCCGGCAGGTGAAGTAACTTTCGAAAAGTTAGCATGAGAAGTTGGCAGGCGAAGTAATTCTCGAAAAGTTGGCGCGAGAAGTTGGCAGGCGAAGTAACTCTCGAAAAGTTGGCAGGCGATGTTGGCAGGTGAAGTACCTCTCGAAAAGTTGGCATGAGAAGCTGGCAGGTGAAGTAATTTTTCGAAAAGTTGCCACTTGGCAGATAAAGTATTTCTCGAAAAGTTGGCATGAGAAGTTGGCAGGTGAGGTAATTCTCGAAAAGTTGGCAGGTGAAGTTGCCACGAGAGGTTGGCAGGTAAAGTATTTCTCGAAAAGTTGGCGTGAGAAGTTGGCAGGTAAAGTAATTCTCGAAAAGTTGACAAGCTCGCAGGTGTAGTAACTCTCAAAAAGTTGGCATGATAAGCTCGCAGGTGAAGTAACTCCTTGAAAAGTTGGCACGAGAAGTTGGCAGGTGAAGTAACTCTCGAAAAGGTGGCATGAGAAGCTGGCAAGTGAAGTAATTCTCGAAGTTTCGGCATGAGAAACTGTCAGGTGAAGTAATTAACCCTCAAAAAGCTGGAGCGGCGGAGGCGGTCCGCGTGCTACATTTGCAATTTACAGTTGCGATTTTCCAGCCATTTGTATCTAAAAGTTGCGATTTTCCAGCCGGAGCTGCGGGCGTACTACGTCTGTACTTAAAAAGTGCGATTTTCCAGCCGGAGCTGCAGCAGCCTCCGCGTACTACGTCTGTACTTAAAAGTTGCGATTTTCCAGCCGGAGCTGCAGGAGCACGCTCCGCGTACTACGTTTGTACTTAAAAGCTGCGATTTTCAAGCCGGAGCTGCCGCGGACCAGGGGGGAATCGAACCCGGGACCGCGGGATTGCGAAAGCAGGCGCGCGCACCACGAGACAACTTCCAAAAGCCGTTTCGCGAGCAAGAAAATCGCACGGCGCCACAGCGAGAGCGCTTCGACACGCACGATCTCCGCAGAGGGTTCATCGGGCTCAAGACAGATGCGCACGGCGCCACAGCGAGAGCGCTTCGACACGCACGATCTCCGCAGAGGGTTCGCCGCGACCAAGACAGATTCGCGCGGCGCCACAGCGAGAGCGCTTCGACACGCACGATCCCCGCAGAGGGTTCGCCAAGGTCGAGACAAATTCGCACGGCGCCACAGCGAGAGCGCTTCAACACGCACGATCTCCGCAGAGGGTTCGCCGCGCTCAAGACAAATTCGCACGGCGCCGCAGCGAGAGCGCTTCGACACGCACGATCTCCGCAGAGGGTTCATCGGGCTCAAGACAAATTCGCACGGCGCCGCAGCGAGAGCGCTTCGACACGCGCGATCTCCGCAGAGGGCTCATCGGGCTCAAGACAAATTCGCACGGCGCCACAGCGAGAGCGCTTCGACACGCACGATCTCCGCAGAGGGGTGCGTTTCGTCCTCCGCCAAGTATTGCCGCGTCCACTCTTCGGGCTGCAGCCGGCGGCTCGCCTGGTAGGCCGGGCGGCTCAACATCAAGGCGCAGTCCTTGTACTCCGGCCACTCCTCCTCCACGGCGGCCCGATCGTGCTCCCAGCCGTCCGGGTCGCAGTAGACGGAGCGCCGGACGTGAGGCATACCTTTGCAGCAAGGTTTGGAGCTCGGGCAAGCCCAAGTCCAGAAGGCCGGCCAGCGACCCGCGCTGATGGCGGCACTGGACGAACACTTGCAAATGGGCGTGGAGAGTTCCGCTCTTTTGGCGCTCGATGGAGCCAAACACCGCGTCGACTCTGCCCAACACCCCGCCCGTGGCCAAGGCGTTGCTCCCGAACGCGTCGCTGCACGGCCGCTCCGAAGCGGCGCAGTTGGGGCAGCGCGGGCAGAACCTGACCCCCAAAAGGTGGCGCAGCGTCAGGAGCACGAGCGTCCTGCGCGAGCGGGCGACCGCAACTGTGGGCGACGACGCGAAACGCGCGCCCGCCCGTCCTGAAACCCTCCGCGCAGGCCAGCGGGTCCCTGGCTAGCAGCGCGCGCCTGTCCTCGTAGTTCGGCAGGCTCTCCGCCAAGGCCTCGGGGCTGAGCCGGCAGAACTCTTCGTCCAGCGCCGGCGCGCCGCGGGCCTGGAACTTCTTCGCGCCGTCCCGCAGCAGCGCGGGGTCCTCTTCTCGCACGCGCGCCAGGCGCAGCATCAGGGCAGTGTCTCGCTCCGAAGGCGAGAAAGTCAAGAAGATCGAGGTCCCGTAGCAGACGCGGTAGGCGTGGGTCTGGAGGCGCATGGTCTTGCGCGCCTCGTGGGTCCCGGGGATGTTCGCGGCCCGGGCTTCGACGTTGGCCAAGATCTTGCGGGCGGCGGGCTGCAAGTTCGCGAAGCGCAGCTTGGTCAAATCCCCGCGGACCGGCTTCTCCCCGCCGTTGACGTCCGTGTAAGTGCCGTTCAAGCGGCGGGCGAGCTCCTGGGCGCCCGCGACGATCTCCTCCGGCTTTGGTGAGTGATAGCCGCCGCCGTCGGCGTCGGGCGCCGAAAACATATAGGCGTTCTTCTGCAGGTTGACCGCCGTCCGGAAGAGGTAGTTCCAGACTGCGAAGCCGAAGGTCCAGTCGCGTCGGAACTGCGCCTCGACTCGGCGCTGCATGGCCGCGGCCCAGGCGCGGATATTCACTCTGGGCGCGCCGGTCTCGCTCCTGGCAATCGCGATCGACCCGACGTCGCCCTTTCGATTTTTCTTCGCCCCGCCCTTCCCGCCCCCCGTCGCCGCGCCTCTCGCGCCTGCTGCGGCGCCCTTCTTCTTCTTCCGCGCGCGCCGCAGAGTTCCGGACGTCTGGGCACGCGGTCCCGCGGGGGAAGCAGAAGCAGAAGGCGACGGCGAAGTAGAGGGGCTGGAACTGGTCCACGAGCTGATTGCCGGCCCTGACTTCTAGCTTCTCCATGCTCCGCAGCTCCGCCTCCGTCGCGAGCTCCTCCCGCAGCTTCTTCAGCGCGGCCGCCGCGGCTTGATTGGCGTCTTCCTCCGCGCAACCTTCCGCGACCACCGCCCGCGCGCGCTGGGCGGCAAAGGTCGCGCCGGCGGCGGCGACGTCCTCTTGCCGCCCGTCGCACGGCGTCGCCGCCTTCTGCGGCCGCAACTTGTCCTCGGCGTCGTCGAAGTCGGCGTCCACCTACAGCGAGAGCGAGGCCGATCTCGCGACGGGTGCGACCCGTGTGCCCCCCGCGCCTGGGCCACGACCTTCAACACCTCGGGCGGCGCCCCGTCGGTCGGAAGCGCGGCGGCTCGAAGTCGCACGCCTTCCTCGTCCGCGCCCGCGAAGGATGGATGGCCCAGGCGCTTCATGTCCAAGACGAGGTTGACCACGACCTCCCGCCGCACGTTCGCCTGGTGGATGAGGCCCTTGATCTCCGCGTCGGTCGTCTTGCCTTTCTTGTTGGTCTTGAGCAGAACGCGGACCAGTTGGCCGAGCTCCGCCCCACTGCGCGGCAGCGCCGCCGCCCGGTCGCCGCCCGCCTGCAAGGCTTGCAAGACGTCTTCCCAGGGCAGCGGGAAGGACAGAGCGTTGCCTCGAGCCCCGAAGCGATGCCTGGCCATGTGAGCCGCTTCGTCTAGGGCGCCGGCCTCGCCGCGGAACCGCGCCTCCATAGACATGCAAATCAGGGTGGTCACGCAGGGCGAGGCGCAGATCAGCTCCATCACGGTCGCCTCCTCCGCGTAGATCCGCTCCGGGGCGTAGCCCGTCCACATGTCGTTCGCCAAGCTGAGCGGGGGCAATTCCGCTTCTGCGAGATGGCCAAGGCACTCGCCGCAGACCGGCAGCTCGCAGTGCTCGCAGAGGACGCCCTCCGCGACGTGTTCAGGGGCCGCGCCGCAGCGGTGGTCTTCCGGGCAGCACAAGAGCTCGACGTCGTCGGGCCCAGGCAGCCGCAACTTCCAGGAGGCGAAGGTCTCGTGGTCGGACAACTTCTTGCCGGGCGCGTCGAGCTGGTCGTACTTGTTGAGGAAGTGCTCCAAGCCGAGGACCTCCGCCGCAGCAGCCGCCGGCCGCCCGAAGAAGAGAAGCTCCCCCGACGGCGCGCGGCTCAGTGGCCGCTGCCATTGGACCTCGCTCCGCTCCCCGACCTCCGCCACGCGGGTGTAGACGCAGGCGCAGCAGAAACAAATCAGCGCCTCCACGCTGTCCTTCGCGGTTGCCTTGGCAAAGGAGCGCAGCGCGGTGCGGTCCAAAGAGCACCCCGCCAGCGGCGCGTCGGCGCGGCAGCGTTGAGCGACCGCCTCGTTGTAAACGCTCGACAGCGCGTCTGGGCAGCGAGGCCTGAGAAGGCGAGCGGCGACGGGCTCCAAGTCCTCGGCGTGCTCCGCCTCGAGATGTCGGGCTAGGTCGGCCTCCAGGCCGTCCGCCGCCTCCCACCCGCAGCCGTCAAAGGCGCAGAAGGCGCGGGGCCAGACCGCTCCGTCCTTCAGCTCAGCTTCGTCGGCGCCCGGCGGGAGTCGGCTGGAGGCGGAGCTTCAGCGCCAACTCCGTACTGCGTCCTCTAAAGGGCGGAGGGGGTGGGAGGTCTGGGTTGCGGGGGTCACGAAGGCTTTGCCAACTTCCTCCATCACGTCGTCCTGCAGCTCCGGCGCCGGCGTGGTCTTTTCCCAAAGGCGGCGCGGGGCTGCGCCGGAGCGGGCCGGGCGGGCCGCGGCGGCGCGCGGCCAAGTCCGCGGCCTGAGCGGGCCGGCTTGCGGGCGGCCGCGGCGGCGGCCGGACTTGGAAACTCCTGGCCGCGAAGTCAACCCCGCGCGCAAGCGAACGCAGTCCTCTGCGTAGACAGCGGCCGCCGTGGCCCCCGCAGCTTCCGCGACTGCCGGGGCAAAGTAGCGCGGCGGCGGCGGCTGCGGCCAGGCCGGGACCATCGCGTCGGAGAGCTCCGCCTCGATCAAGGCTTTGTAGTGGTCCACTCCGTTGTAGAGGAGGTGGGCAACCGGCGCGTCGGCGTCGACAACTGCGTGGGAGCTGTCCTGCACCTCCACGACGTCGGAGCCCGCGACCTTGACGTGGACGAAGACCCGCCGCTGTCGAAGCAAAGAATAAGCCGAGATGGCCACGGCTCCGCCCCAGCACTCCGCCGCAGGCCCCCGCAAGTGTTCTGCCTCCTCCAGCCACACCTCCTCAAAGCCGTCCTGGCGGAAGGCCTCGCTCTCCAGAAAGTTCGCCAGCTCCGCCCGCAGCTCCTCCCCACAGCGACCCGCCTCGCGTGGAACAGGCAGTTCCCATCCCCGGGCACGTCGACGACCGCCAAGGCGCAGATCGCCGCCGCCTGCCGCAGCGACCCAGACAGCCACGCGAAACTCTCTCTCGTCGCTCAGGGCCTCGCCCGCTGCGGCGTTCGAAGAGGCCGCGGAAGCGGAAGCCATGTCAACGTCCTGCTACGGGCGCGGCCGGTCGAACGCGCGGCGGAGCGAGCAGCCGACGACCCGTCCTGCGCGCGAAATGCCGGAAGGCGGGGCAAAGGCGAAAGCTCGGGAGTCTCGCAAACGGCTGCCGGTCACCAGCCACAACTTCTTGCGCGAGGCAAGGCAGGCGACGAAGCAACGCTCTGTCTGTGCCGCGCGCTTTTCTCGCGGCTCGCCAAATCGAACCTTTCAGCCCCGAGGGGGTTCAAAAGGAGCCCAGCCCAAACACGCGGTCTTCGACAAAGAGGGCAAGAATAGCCAGCAAGCAACTCCGGCCGCAATCTTGGCTTCGCTGGCGCGCGGCGAGGGCGCCGGCCAGGCGCAGAGCTCCTGCGCCAACTCCTTGGCCGCGCGCGTCGCAGGGGCTTTGCTGGCCGCCTTCTCCCGGCGCCGGCGCCTCGACTTCGCTTGAGCAATTCTTGCGGGCCGCGCAAGTCGCGGGCGCCGACGCCGCAGAGGTCTGGAGCAACTCCCACCCGCTTGTCGACGCCGACGCGCCGGTCGTTCACCTCCTCTACGACGGCGTGGGCCACTACAACGCCTTGGTCGAAGTCGAGCTCTTTGACGAGATGGCCCCGGCGTGGCCGCAGCCGCCGCCGTCGCTTTGCTTCGCTCCGGCGCCTGCAGAAGCCGTGGGCGCCGAGGCGGGCGGGGTCTACGCGAAGGACGAGGCAGGGGCTGCGCCGCAGTCGCCGAGAGACGGCGCTCGGCGCGCGCGGCCAGGAGTTCCCAAGCTTGGCCGCGGCGGCGGCGATTGAGCCGCAAGCCCGCGCGCGCGGCCGCTTCTTCGGACGAGGCACGGCGGAAAATGCGTGAACTTAGCCCGCGCGGGCCGCGCCGTTGCGCGCAGACACTTCGCCGCCGCCGCAGGTCGCCGCGGTCTGCGTCTTGGCGGTGGTCGGCGTGCCCGGGGACGGAAATTGCCTCTTCCACGCCCTTGCGGCGCAAGACCGGGAGGCGCGTTGTGGGGAAGAGCTGCGCGCCGAGCTGGTCGACTTCCTGGAGCGCAAGGCCGGCGACCAGGACGGCGTCGAAGAGGTTTGGCGAGAAGAGGCCGAGCACTTGCGGGGGGCCCCGGCCGAGCGCTGGGGCGGAGCCGTGGCAATCTCGGCCTACTCCGGGGGCCATAGTTTGGTCCTGCGGGCGCCGCCGGCAAACTTGCGACGGGGCAGCCGGCCTGCCGGCGAGTCCTGCTCGCAGAAAGCTGGAGGGCGGCGGCGCGGTCGAGGGCTTGAGCAAATGGCCACGGCGTTCGCCAACTCCCTTGCAAGACAAGGCGCGCAACTCTCCTGCTAGGGCCAGACTTTTCTCCTCGAAGGCGTTCCCCGGGAGCTACCCGGCGCGGTCCACGCCGGCTGTCGCCCGCAACGTCTTGCGTTTTGCGACTGTCGGCGGTCCGCTCAAGAACCCCGCGGCTGCGAACAGGGCCCGGTCCAGACTCAGCCGGACGCAAGGGCGGCCGCGGCGGAAGCGGTCAAAGCAGACCACGTCTCGCCACACAGGAAACGGAAAGTCGCAGTCCAAGGCGGCAGCCTTCAGCCGCCCTTGCCAAGCCCGGACCGCCCGCCGGCAAGGCCGGGACAGGCGCCGCTCCGAAACGAAGCCTAGGAAGAGCACAAAAATTTGGACCTCGGCGTGCAGGCGCAGCGGCTCGCCGTAGACCAGCCATCGCCAAGAAGGCAGCGGAAAGCGCCAGTCTTCGCACTTTCGGCGCAGCCGCGCCTGCCACAAGGCCAAAGTTGGAAGCCGCAAGTAGGCGCAAGGCCCCGTGGTCGCCCCCGCAAAGGCGGCGACTTCGCGCCAGAGAGCGCCGTTGTCAGCCCGGGCCTCAGAGAGAGCCGCGGCCGCGGGCGCCTGCCGCGCGCCCGCCACGTCGTCCTCTCCCTCGTCGCTTTCGGAGTCCCACACGTCGGCCCATCGGGGCCGCTGGCCCAGCGTTTGCAGCATGCGCGGCGAAGCTGGAAGTGGCTTGGGCCCGGAGCTGCGCCGAAAGAGCAGCGGCGACAAGCAGCAGGCCGCGCTCTCCCTCCGCTCTTCTCCGTCTCTCGCCGTTTGTTCGCCTCCGCCTCCTCTCTTCCTCGCAGCGCGCTCCTTTTTCCGAACGCGGCGCGCGACCCTCCGACTCACCGCGGCCGCGCCGGCCGAGCTTGCCGCGCGCAAACAGCCGTCAGGAAGTGGTCGCAGCGGAACACAATGGCCAGCCCGGCGTCGAAGGGCGGCTCCTCGTCGTCTTCGTCGCCCGCCGCCAAGCAGCCGCGGAAATCGCCAGGCCGATCGACTTCGCGCGAGTAGATGAAGCGAGCCTGGCCCTTGCGCAGCAAGCCGAGGTAGAAGTCAAACTCTGGCCCCCCAAGCAAGTCGAAGAAGTTGAGCCGCTGCAGCACTTCCATTGGATCGAGGCCCCGGAGGCGCCAATAGCGATCAATCCAGCGCCGCATCTGGAACTGCGAGCCCGCGCAGAAGGCGCCGGCTAAAAAGGCGGGCGGGCGGAAGCGGTTTGCCCGCTCCTCGTTGAAGTCCCAACAGGCCCGCGCTTCGAGAAAGTCGCAGAGCTCGAAGCCCGGCAAGCGAACGCGCGCGCCTTGCAGGAAAGCCGCGAAATCTTCTGCGAGCCTCCGCGCGGCGGCGCCCCGCGCCGCCCACTCTGGCCTACGGGCGTCGCGGCAAAGCGCCAAGAGGCGAAGCGTTGCCCGCCCGTCCAGCAGCTCGAGGAGCTCAAGTAGCAACAAGTCGAAGACCGGGCCGCGAACAAGCGGCATGTTGCCCCGGCAAGTGCCGGGTCGAGCTTGGGCCCAAGAAGCCCGCCCGCAAGCCAGTGGCAATCGCAAACTGCGCTCCCGCAAGATAGTCAAGGGCTCGGAAAGGCCCGAACAATGTCGCGCGGCAGAGCCCGCCGCCTTTTTCGCCGCTTCAAACATTGCGCCGCCGCGGGCGAACTGCGAGAACTACGTCGGCCGGCCGGCTTCATCACTTGGCCTCAGCCCCGCTCCCCGCCTTCTCCCCGTCGGTCGCCGCCGTCGCCTCTGCCTCTTGCTCTCCGGCTTGGCTGTCAATTTGAGTCGCCGCGGCCGCGTCAAGCCGCGACTGTCCGCGCGGCAGCGCGCTCCCGGGGCGCTTCTTCTTGCCGCCGCCTGTAGGCCGTAGAGGCGGGGCGTCCTCGGCCGTCCTCCGGAAGACGTTGACCCCGACGGCGCCGGGCGGGCGCCAGTACGGGATCGGCTCCGCCAGGCGCTGCGGCGCAGTCAAGACCAGCCCGCAGACGCGCCTTTCGTACGGCAGGGCCGCGTCGCGCGGCCACAAGTGCTGGTCCGCAAGCTCGTAGAACTCTGCCTCGCTGAGGACGCGGGAGCCGGCGATGGTCACGCCGCCGTAGACCTTGCCGCCCATGCCCACCCACACGCGGCCAAGCGCGTGCCTGGTCGCTCGTAGTTCCAAGGTCTTCTCGCCGCTCAGCACAAGGTCCAGCCACGGCTGCCGCATCACCAGGACGCGATCTCCCACTGCAGGCACGCCCCCGTCCGCCATGAGGTCTGAGAATAGCTGTGGCTACTTAGCTGAGCAAAAACGCTGCGGAGGCGGCGAGATCGCGACGGCTGGCGCAAAGGCCGGGGCTCAAACGGCCAACTTCCGCAAGCCGACTCGACTCTCCAAATCGCTCTGCGCTTTTCCTGCGTCTTCAACTCAAACAGTCTGCGCGCCGGGCCCGCTCACTCAGTCTCCGCCATCTCGGTGGCAAGCACGGACTCTTGCTCGGCGACCCACTTGGCCAGCGGGTCCTCTGCGGAGGCGGCGTTGACAAAGTGGAGCGGGACCCCCAGGAGCACGTCCGTGAAGATCTCTTGGATGGTCAGCTTGCCCTCCGAGGAATCCTCGACTTCCAGCGCCCGCACGTACTTGGATGACCGGCTTGGTTGCTTTCTAGATGGCGTTGGTTGCGCTACTTATATATTGCTCCCTAACATGTTCTAACCCAAGTTATATATTGGGTTAACTCTATCAAGTTCACCTGGCCTACTTGCTATATTGACGCTCTTCTGCTATGTAGATAGTATGTTTGTTATGTTGCTACGGCCTACTTAGAGAAGGTTTTTGTATCTAAGCCATGTTAAGTTGATGAAGTTGCTAAACAAATAACCTACATACTTACATTGACTAAGTAACTTATCAGGTATGATATTCAAGTTAGTAAGTTGATCGCGGCCTACTTACTAAGTACGCCGAGGCCTACTTACTAAGTACGCCGGGGCCTACTTACCCCGCACGCCGGGGCCTACTTACTAAGTACGCCGGGGCCTACTTACTAAGCGCGCCAGGGTCTAGTTGCTATGCGCGTTTTGGTCGGTGCGCAAGCGCATGAGCTCGCCTCGCAATATGGAAATGCTCAGATGAAGGAGGCGGAGATGTGTTTTTGGTAGGTTTTGAAGTTGAAATTGAAAGGTTTGGCGTTCGTGTGTGTTCTTTGTAATTTTGGTGCCCACAGTAGTTGAGCGGTGTTCTTGTTAGCTTACATGCGGAATCATACGCATGCGTGTGCGAAATACAAGATGGGTCCCTTTTTTTCAATGCATGTTAGCGTGGCCGAAGGGTTTCTACAGAATAAAGCGCCCCCAAATTGGACAGCCAGATGTGGAAGCTTTTGCCCGAACAAGTTGGAAAATGGACAGCGGCAACATTTTTTCCGGCTGTCTTGTTGGCGTTGCCTTGTATATACCTGGGCTAGTTCATGCGTCGAAAAAGACCCAGCTGTTGGGTTATTTGTTTTTGCTGCTTTCAACATGTGCTCGCGTGTGTCGTTTCCAAACAAAATACAAAACGCCGATGGCTCAAATGTTATGAGGCTTACCGAACAAGAGTTTAGCGATAGTTCATCAAGAGGGTTTACGTTTTGTTGCAGTTTTGGAAATGAACTTGGAAAAGAGAAGAATTTGAGGTTTCATTCAGCGTCAAACAAACATGCACCCATGGAATCTGTTTTGACCAAACTTTGGAACCGCGCATTTCAGTCAATGATTTTTGTTTATGACTGTGCCTTGACGCAACAAACACTGCTGCTGCTGTCCAAGTTTTGACACTGCTTCGTCCAAACTCTTTGAGCCACTGACAATTGGTCAATTTGGTAGCCGACATGAATCAACGCCATCATGGTTGACATGCAAGTTTCCTTGGCTCTACCAAGTTCACAAGCATGGCGCATGAAACTCACATGTTCAAGAGGTTATAAGATTTGCTCGCTTCACACGCGCAGTCAATGTTCAAAGTGTCACAACACGGCAAGAGGTAAAATCAAACACGATCTCAAACATGTTGGCTTGGTGAACGCTTCGATCAGCGTGATGACGGGTCATGAAGCTCATTTTGAGCAGTCCATGGTTTGCATGGAGTACTGCGTGTTGAAGCGCGCGGACCGGTCCGTGAAGGCCAGAGACTTCACAAAGTTGTGGCCGGGTCAGTATGCTCGAGTCTTGGCGCACGAAGACATCTTCCTGAGCATGTTTGCGCAGGGGGGTGGGTCAGCGTGCAAGTTTCAATATGAGGAGAGGACAGAATGGAAAGGCAGACCAATGCTGGTGTATGCTCATTGCCAGGAGAGATTCCCACGCATTGGTGTTTTGATCCACGAGTCACGTCCAAAGTTGGTGGTGAACCAAGAGATTGTGACTCGAGATGATGGCTTGGCGCGCGCGGTTTCATGGCACTACAGCGCCTCAGGGACACGCATCACCACCAAGTTCTTCTACAGCAACGTTTCTTGCCAACGTTTTGGGAATGTCTAGTGTTTCGCAGTTCGGATTTTTTGGAGAATGTTGCATTTCTCCGTTGCGCCAAGTAGAAGCTGACTCGATGTTTAGCAGGATTCAGCCAGACTTGTTGTCTCGAACTTCCTTGTGTCAGGAAAAAATCACTCAGCGCCGAGCTTTGCACCACTTGCTGGACCACTTGGTTCAGTTCAATGTTTGCACCCCCGTCACAGATGTGACGTTGAGCGCAGATTTCCAGCCCAACGCTTTGATCTTCAAACCCGACACAACGCATGACGCGAAGATCTTAGAAGAGGAAAGATCAGTCCGGCCCTGCAGTGACATTCAGATGATGAGCGATGGAGATTCCGACGAAGGCGGCTCGGATTTGCAAATCGTCAAAGCCTTTAGGGTTTAGGGCTCAGTCAAAGATCAGTTTGCCAACCCTACCAAACATTAGGCGTATAAACTTGATGATGGTTTTGAAAACGCAACAAAAACGGCCTTTGTCCAACCCATGCTTTCTGCCTCTTGCAGAGCAAGGGAAATGAAGCCAATGGTTTGGATGCATCAGTGAAGGGTTAGTATAGATTGCTGCTTGAAATGAAATTTCCATCATCGTCCAACAGGTGCTTCGGGATATTCTTTTTCAATTTCCCACTGAGTGGATGCATTGTTCTGTCAGTTGGATTGAGTGCTTGCAGGTCTTTGATTCAGTGGATGACGTGGGTGATGGACTTCCGGGGCTTTGACTCGATGGACTCGATTGATTGCTCGGTTTTTGATGTGGCACCGTCGCCGCCAGCAGCTGTAAAACAACATGTGACTCTCGTACTCGGCGCAGTTCGGTTTTAGTGGAGGTGCAGCATTCACAAATGCCGTTGTCCATGTGTTTGATGTTAGCGGCCAAGTTGAGTTTCACTCAGATATGCACTTGCATGCTGTGCATGCTTGCACGCGTGCGCCGCAGCCATGTTTCAGCTCATATCTTATCTCTCAGACGCATGCATTCTAGCGCATGAAGGGCTTTGTGAATTGCCAGGCATGCTATGTGACCTGGCCAGATCCTGTCATCAAGACATTCCACACTCAACGCCACGGTTTTGTGAAACGCGTCACGTAGTCAGGTCTGTGCTGTCTGTGCTGAAGAAGTGTCTGAAGCCATGAACCAGGCGCAGAGAGACCAGATCCAGAAGTACGTTCAGGCCGCTGCAAATGAAGGCATGGTGGCGATCTCAAAGAAGGCTTTGGACTACTTGGAGAAGGAGACTTTGGTCCACGTTCAGAGGATAAGATGCATTCACCTTGGGGTCCATCATGGGAACAGAGGCGGGACAGGAATTGATTTGAACCACATGGTGGATCTTATGAAGAATATCTCGGCCGTGGGGTATGTGGATGACGTCTCCACACGTGTTTGCGTCGAGTTGGATGGTTCCCCAGCCTCAGAGTGCACAAGGCAGGCGAAGCTGGCAAATTATTGTATCTAAAAGGACATGATGTGTTGAAACACGACTGTGTATCATCAAACATATGGGTGCCAGGCGCCAGGCCATTTTTGAAGCGTGTGTCGAACATAATTAAACGTTGGTTTTGATGGCAGGGATTACAATCGGAGACTGGCCATGGAGTCTGGTGGCAAATTGCCAGCTGCGGAGGAGATCCGCTACGCGACGATTTGTGGCTCGCACGCCAACATGGCGGCAAGGGCAATTTTCCATGGCGGGTTGGGACTGGCTGACCTGAGCCTCCATGAAATTCCAGGAGAGTGGAGGAAGGCCATTGCAGATGGCTGTGATTGGAAAGTCATCAAGGCAGTTGTTTGGAAGGAGTTCCCGCAGCTCCTGGACCTGGTGTGCCAGAGTGGAAACACAAACCAAAGCATATCCAAACAGGAGGATGAGCTCCAGCTCATCAACAAGGTGAAGCAGGCCATCACCTCCTGGCCAGGCGCCAGTGCTCCGAAGTGGCAGGACGTCTCTGCCACTGTTCTGCGGAGCAGACCAAAGTGCGGCCCCTGTGCTCCGTCCATCTTCGCCTTTGTAGTGAGATTTGGTGGCTCCAGCAAGATGTTGGCGGACACACAAGCCTACGCCAGAACGTGTGGAAAGGGGGGCCGGGAGCTTGGCCAGGAAACTTGGGCCATACTATCCCAAGAGATGAAGAGCTTCCCCGACCACCTCCGTTGGAGACACGCGCTGCTGAAGTATGCATACAGTGGGGTCATGCCGATCACAGCCACGGATGCCGCCGGGAAACATTTTTTTTTTATCAGTTCTCGTTGCTGTCAATGTCCTTGCAGGTTGGGCATGTTGCTCGCTTGCTCTTTTCTCTTCAAAACATGATCGCAACCCAAGATGAAATGGCTTCAATCAAGTTCGCTTGCGAAAATAGTAGACATCCGAGGCCAAACGAGCGATGACAAACAAGGAGGTCGTGCAGAAGGCATCGTGCGCAATGAAGCTGCTCGACCAGTGGGCCGCAGTGACAGAACCCTACGCCAACGACGAGACCAAGCAGTTGGTGTTCCAGCGTGCGCACGGCAGCTTAGAAGTACACTTGGCAGCATGCGCGCTTGACAAGAAAAACAGAACGCACGACAAGATGGAAGATGCAGCCCGACAGGTGTTGCAGGATTTTGCCAACGAAATTGGTGTCGCGCTGGCGACGCCAAGCCAATGGGGCCAGACTCAGAAGAAGCCGTCTCCCAAGCAGCCGCCTTCCACCAACACCATCTTGAGAGAATACAACGACAAAGGTGTGCTGACAAACGCTCCAGCAGTCATGGCTTCGATGGGCTTTGCTGTGGGCTCTCAGGTGCAGCGCGGCAGCACTGTGGCGAAGATCGACCGTGTCCAAGGTGATGAGGTGCGCTTGACCGTGGAGGACAGCAAGGTATTTGTGTCCGCTGCATCGTTCATCGCCAACGAGTGGAAGCAGTACAGTGAGCCAAAGCCGCAGCTGGAGGTGACGTGGCTGCAGCACTCCCCACCTTCGAGCTTGGACTTCCAACATTGTCTGGTGAAGGGCAAAGTGTTCGAGGCTATGGCAAAGCAGTGCGCGAAGTTGCAAGGCTGGGATACTCTGCAGCTCTTTGCAAACCCGAAGGCTGTCAAAGTTGCGCAGAGTTGGCCTCCCAAGAAGCTCCACTTGCCGTGCGCCAGTACTCGCATCTGGCTGATTGAGGCAAGCAAGACCACGGCAGACCAGTTGCCCATTGGAACATTTGAGAACTACATGGTGGTCATTGGCAGCTGTTCCAAGACTGGCGCCGCGCCGGGCGATGGCTTCCAGAACCCTTTCTGGCTAGTGCCGAGGACAAGTGAAGCTGACGATGCCAACATGGAGGCACGGTTTGAAGTTGCGCGGTGTCTTGTGCTTGGGAGGTTTGGTGTTTCTGCTTTCAAGGCGTGTACCAGCTGATTGGCTGAGCGTGTGCGTGTTTTCCGAAAGTTGGTACGTATTGTACACACATCGATTGCTTGCATACACGTTTTGCTGAGTCAAATCATTGAGACTATGTGTTTATATGTACATCTGTGTACATAGATATGTTGGCGTAAGCAGAGACAGAGAAATGCACCAATTGGGTTGTATATGTAAATGTATGTGTGTTCAAACTTGCATTTACAGGCACATGTATACATACATACGCATACATCTGTTTGTAGGTTTTTACGTGAAGGTACACTGTTTTCAAAGACCTTGCGCGAACTTGATTCATGGCGGCTCTGCGCAGGTCTTCCCCTCCATCGATGTCTTGAAGACGAAGGTCATCAAGCTTGACAAGGAGATTGTGCTGCCAGTCCTTCGCAACTCTGGCAAGTTGGCGGAAGGAGATGAGCTATGTTTGCACACGGAGAAGAAGGACAAGGCGCAGCAGGGTGAGCCGTTGAGGGCCGCGCCTTCCAAAAGGCTGCGAACTGGTTGAGAAGCCTATGGTTGGCAGTTAAGATGTCACATGCCAAAGTGTCTTAAGCGTTTTTTGATGCCTTGGCCAACAATTTGTCATTGTTGTGAGACCAACACCTCATTTGTGACTGCGCGAGCGTGTGCCCAGCGCGCGGGTCAACAAAGTGAGCCACATTTAGCTTTGCAGATGTGCAGCTTTGCAGATGTGCAGCACTGAGTTCTGCAAGCATTGACTTGCCTTGTCCTGGAACTTCAAGAGATTCTGTGAATTGTGCAGGCTGCTGGGCTTTTTGAAGAAGCTCGCGTGCCAGAAGCAAAACCGCGTGATAAGGGAGTTTAGATTTCAAGCTTTGCAAACACACACGCAGTGCCATACAACAAACAGATCGGGTTTGAGCCATGGAGGAAGGTGATCCAGCAATGATGGAGCAGGCTGAGGAGCGGGCTGAGGAGCAGGCTGAGGAGCAGGCTGAGGAGCAGGCTGAGCTGGAAGAGCGTGGCCCCCTGCCGCTGGTGATTGAGAATGTGACCAGAGTGGTGTTGGGGAATCGGCGGCCTTGGTTCCCTAAGACGCAGGAGATTGACGGCCGAACGTACGTGACCCTATCAAAGACTGACCCAGGCCTTTGTTTTATAGTGACTGGAAGAGGACAGAACAGGCATGCAAAAAGGGACATCCACAGTCTGAATGTCCAGTGGTGGGAGAAGACAACGAAACTGAGCGCCTCACCCTTTCCTTCAAGTATGCTTTTTTTAGATCATGAAAGTATAGAAGATATGCCAGACCTGTTTTTGCTTGAACGTAAAGCAAAACCCCGCTCTATAGATTGCGCGCTCAGGACATGACGCTTGCACGGACATTTTACGGAAGCATATGCTAAGTGGGGTGCAAGATGGAGAAGAGCCGCCGAAATTCCGGCAAGCTCGCGAGGACGATAAATTCGTGATCGCGCGCTGCGTCTCAGTCACCCTTCCTGCATTTACAGATGGGCAAGGAAGTGCCGTTGACGAGACCGAAATGCACATGTTGTGGAGTGTCAAGAGCAAAGACATTCACATAGACCTGACAGACCAAAATCTCCGATACTGCTTCAGCGCGTTGGAATGTTCGCCGGCCGTAGAGAAGGGTAGGGATGAACAGAAGATTGCGTCCCCCAAGAAGAAACGTAGAAAACTGAAGTGGAGACCGAGTAAGGAGGCGGATGCAGCAGAGTTACCTCAAGCACCCCAGGAGCTGGAGCTGCCAGGCTAGGCCGTAGATTTGTTGTATAGAATGCCAGTGTGACTGCTACAGTGATGGCATATCGCCTGGCAACGTCCTGGCGCACAACCAGACCCGCAAAGTTGAATATTGGTCGATCAAAGAATTTGGTGACTTGGCGTTGTCTTTGGAAAAGAACTGGTTTCTGCTTGGAGTTGCAAGAACTGATCATGTTAAAAGGATGGCAGGAAAGATGTCGCAGTATTTCCTGCAAGTGTTGCTCGCGCGATTTGTCCTTCCTTTTGCATGTTGAAGCGCCAAATGAATTTCACATGATGCTGCAAGTTGTTGATGCGTGGCGTTACATTCAATTTCAAGTGAGTCGTCTCCAAAAGATCTGTTGTGTGTTGGCTTGATTTTTGCTTTGTGATTGCCTTGTCTATTCGCGACCAGATTCTTATACGTCAACAAAGTCCATGTGCGACGCCGTGTGTGATTTTTGCGCAGCCGTGCTAAGCCTTAAGCTGTCCAAAAGGAATCGTTGAATCGCGCACTCTCGCGCAAGAACATCATGCCGCGCATGATGAAGCGAACCATCAGTGAGAACGACGATGCCAGCAAGGTGATTTGGTCCTGCTCGTGGGTCATGGACAATGGCCTCAAGTGGAAAGTTGCTCGTCTTGATGGGCCCTGCCGTACGCGACTTGGAAAAACATTAAGAACAGTAGACTGCGCGTGTTCGCGTGCGTGTTGCTCTAAGGATACCTTTTGAGGATGTCGCCGCTACGTGGGCTATGTCCGAATCTGAGAAAGCCAGGGTCAAGTGTGACATGGAGGCCAAGTTTGCGACGGGCAATGTTTCTGAAGATCAATGAGATCGCGCGACGCGTCGCAAGCGCAAGAAAACAAAGAGCGTACAACGTCACGGCGTTTGCTAGCACTTGCAATTTTCAATCTCATTGCGAACCAGGAAGTGCATTTTCTTTATTTGTATTTGCTGTTTTTGATTTTGCGTTGATCTGGAACGTACTGGGCCTGGAAACACATCAGTTTTCAGCCGAAGTGGCAAACCAGTAAAAAAGGAGTTTTTTGGCGGGTTGCCTCTACACAAGCGCAGTTGCGTGATATGCAGTGTTTGCTATATGTCAACAGGCGGTTTGTACTTATCTCGTTTTGTCGTCTGCCAGCGGATCTAATGTCCAGGACCTTGAGAACATCCAGAGCTTCTTGGGGACGCAGGAGCGCATTGTGAAAACAGACCAACACAAAGCTTGACAACCAGCTGAATGTGTGGGTTGCAAACCGCGTGTGAATTGCTAAATGAAGGAACCAACCTTGACCGTTACCAACCTTAACATGTCGGAGGCTTTGGTGTCCAAAACATGGATGGGGCCGCACCTGGAAACAAACCAAAACCAAGACGACCTCTTCAGACGTTGACATGCTTTGCTGCCTGGCTGACAGATTGCCTTTTAAATTGACCTGTGGCTCAAGTGCTTGAGCTGTCCCAGCATGTGCGCGCGTAAGAAGCTTAGCCGTAGTTATAAACATGTTTGAATTGTTGGATTTTGATCAGGTTTTGGATTGTTGATTCAGTGTTTGATGAGTGGGTCCGGGCCTTGGCTGTTGCTGCGCTGCGGTTTTTTGAATTCCATGAGATTGAGAATGTGCGCACATTCACTACACATTCAGTGGCATGTTATTGCGCCCTCCCCGCAGCTACTCCAAAGCAGGACTGTCGGAGTGTTTCGGCGTTTTAGAGTAGTTGGCTGCTGCAAAGCGCCCCATGGACGCGTCCCGTCAATAGACATGTTAATTATCAAACCCAAACTAGATGACTGAGTTTTTTTGAACCATAGAACTACTTTAACCTGATGCCGGCAACAGCAAGCGTTAGAACAGCCCTTGCTGTAGCATTTGCTTCCTGGTTGTCCTTGAGTTTTGAGCAATAGAACTAGTCTATCTTGATAGGTTCAATTGGTGGTAACCCGATATTGAGTGAATGATTCCTGGATGTAATTTGTAGAGTAATGTCCACCGCATCGTTGATGCCTGCAGTAGCAGGCGATAAAACAATCCGGAGCTGGTTGCTTCCTGGTAGCACTTCAGTTTTGAGCAACCGAACTTCTGAATCTTGGTAGTTCCGGTTGTTTGCAATTCGTTATAGACTGATTCATTCCTGCATGGATGTAGGTTGCAGCTCGATTTCCACCCCGACGCGAGAGGCCAGGGCTTGCAACTTTAAAGAAGTAGTCAATCTTGATGGTTTGATTTGATGCCGACCTGGATGTAGATTGTAGGATACTGTCCACGCCCTTGCCCAGGACATTGGTGCGTCTTGCCCGCTTCAAGGCGCGTGTGAAGGTGCGTTGGGGGATGTGGACAGGCTTGCTTTTCCAGCTGAACTTGTCAACATACTTGCTGTTAATTGCCTTGTATTTGCATTGGTGTGTCTGAACTAAAGGGATGTTGCATTCGTTGCTTGTTCTGGTAGCTGGGCATGGTGTGCTCGCTACCCTCATGCATTTCATTGCAGGTTCTTTTCAATTGTGCCATTTGCCAGGTGCAGCTTTGCAGGCCGACTTCACTACTTGTTGGAGCGCTTTTCTTGAGGCGAGGATGGATGGGGATGAGGTGTATCTGAGCACTATCTACCTGATATTCTTGTAGAAAACAAATAAAACATAGGTTCAACCTGAAACTGAAAAACACAAAAATCATAGGGACGTTATTGTGTTTTCGAATGTTTGCAACGTTGGGAAAGCATCACAATTCATCAAAAATCTTGAAGGTTCACCAAATCCTTAAAAAAAAAATTTGCGAGAGTTCCCCCTTATTTTTTGTGTCAATTTTTTCGAGAGATGGGGAGTTTGGTTTTTTGTGGACCCACAAATTTGCATTTCAAAAAAAAGTGGACCCACAAAGTTTGAATCCGAAAATATGTGGACCCACAAACTGTGAATAGTGTCATTAGGTTTTTTTTGTGGAATCACAACTTCTGAAGCTAGGAATTTGTGGACCCACAAGTCTGCAGTTTAAAACCATGTGATTCCACACACTTTGAAATGCGGCCGTCTTGGATGATGATCAGCTTCAGGATTGTAAAGAAGTGACACAACACATGTTTCCATCTATACCCATTGCCAGGCGGAGATGAGTTTTTCCCATAGCGATCGAGGATGGATGAGGCCTGGGTCGTGTGTTGGAATGCGTTCCTTGAGCGGCGCGAGCTAGCCCAGCACTATTTGCGAGCTTTCCCAGCGCCATGGTGACATAGTGGGATGTGTTGTTTCGTGTCGATTTCGCAGAACTTTTGTGGCGTGTTTGAGTTGCGTTCGGTCTTGACAGGTCGGGTTCATGCCAAGCTCTTCAACAAGAGGCGCGCTTGGGACTGGATGAAGGGGAGTCAGCCACCGCTTTGTGACTTGTGCGTGAGCGTGCTTGCAAACCGCAGACGGATGGCTCTTAGGCAGCATTTGAACATCTGCTATGGGTACACACACACCACAGATACAGGCATCATTAGATTGTTACACTCGGTTGCCCCTATGGGGCGTGCCTTTGTGTTGTTGGTGTTTACAGGCATCACACAGCTATATAGATAGACTGTCACACCCGGTTGCCCCTATGGGGCCTGCCTTTGTGTTGTTGGTGTTGTTTATCGCAGCACCAATCCACCAACACGTATTTTCCTTATAGATTCATACTCGCATGATATGTTTAGAACATTTACATAGAAACGCGCCAGACGTATATGTCTTTAACTGTGTCATGGTCGTCAACTTTCAAGGCTCAGGCAGCCACTTCGAGCACATAGGTTGTGCGCACCGCCCCAAACAGGCATTTCAACTGAACAAGGCACTGCAGCCAACAATCAACACAGACCGCGCCATGGCTTCGTGGAGCAGCGAGGAGGAGTGGGGCGCATGGAGCCCTGACGACAAGAAGGACAGCTTCACTTTCATTCCCGTTGCTGGAGTTATGTTTATGTGTGTGTTGCTGAAGTTTTGAAAATGCGTGTTGAGACAAGTTTACTGCGTGTTTTGTGAGTTGTGACAGTTGCTTGGTATCTCAAGAGCTTTGCGTGAGCCCATGGAGGAGCAGCCGCTTCCGCCGCCGCCGCCGGAGGCAGGGGTGTTCACCATGGCTTGCGCTTCTGATGCTAGTTCCCTTCGTTTGTCGTGCGAAGTTACTTGGTATCAGGAGGAAACCGACGAGGAGGGGGTCATCGTGATCGGAGCCAAGGTGCAGCCGAAGAAGATGCCGAAGCCAGTGGCGGCCTCATTCCGTCGATGATCAAACGCTCAACTACACACACAGTGGTGCACGTATGGATATGATGGGTCACACCAATATAAGGCCACCTTTTTGTTACCCAAGTTGTCATTTTGTGGACCAAAAAGGACGCCGCCGTGTTGAGACATATCCATACATCAAATTCAAATTTTGTGCAAAAAAGCACAATGGTCAAATTTGATGATGGCAGTCAGGCAGCTCCGGCGGTGATCATGGCTCCGTGGAGGAAGCCGAAGGCGATGGAGGCATGGGGCCATATGAGCTTTTGGCAACGGATTTGCAAAGCTGTGCTTGGATGAGTTATGGTTCTTTGTTGTGTTCTTCTCACAATCCGTTGCAGGGCTGCATCTCCTTGGAACGGGCCATGGACAACTCTGGTGGCGAGGCAGTGGGCGTGTCCAGAAGGGACTGAAAGCTTTGTTGTTGATAGCTGTGTGTGAGTAGCGCGCACAAAGCGCATCTTATGCATAGGTCATGGGTCATTTGACTACATTGTTAGCTTCTCCACGCAGGCGTCATTGGAGAAGGCGAAGAAGAAGCAGAAGACCAAGACTTCGGATGTGCCGGATGACGGCTGGATCGGTGCATTCCGACTGGTCTACGGGGAGGTGGGGGGTTGCGCGTGTCTGTGCTCGCATTGTCCACATCCATTCAATGTGCAGTGTGGACCAGGACGCTCCCTTGCCTGGGCCGGGGGAGCTGACGGCAGACTTCCTGGCAGATCTGGCGTTCAAGCTGGCCATGAAGCAGGCGGAGATGAAGGCCGATCTGAATAATTGTGCGTTGCTGTGATATTTGCTTCTGCGTTGCTACAATGCGTTCATCATCATCATATATATATATATATGTATGTACACAAGTGAATCCAAGTGCAGTTTCATATTTCAGCCTATTGGCGTTTGCTGATGAACATGAAGTCAATCCCCGACAGATGGAGCGACAGAGGGAGCGGCAGCTGCCTCCTCCGCCGCCGCCGGAGGAGGGCTGCATGGACATGCGTTACTTATGTTGGTCGCGTTTGCAATTGTTTGTTGAAGTTTCTTGTCATGAGGATTGAGTTTGCAGGTTGTTGTTACGGTTCAATGTTTGCAACAGGTGACATCGGAGACATCGGTCAGCCACGTGGAGTGGCACAACGAGAAGAAGGCAACTTGTCAGCGTCAGAGTTTGCTCAAGTCGCGCGCGTCATTTTTTCAGATGCGTTGAGAGTCCATTCATGTTCAGGAGGTGTGGCTTTCGGACGGCACCGTCCGCGTCGACGGAAAGCTGCTGAAAGAGTGGGAGATCGAGCAGTACCGCTCCGAGGGGTCGACACGCACGAGAGCTCGAACCCGCGGTGGAGCCCAGATCCGAGCCAAGGACTTTCGACTGCGTGCAGTGGAAACAGTGATTCATTTTCAGTTGCGTGAAGTGTGCAAGAAGGTCTGATTGTGACTAGAAAGTGATCTTCGACTGGTGATTTCCTGAGGAGCAGTTCAAGCATCTCCACGAAATCCACGAGGAGGCTGGGTGTTGAAGCTTTTAACATGTTTGCATGCGCGTACCAAACTCGTCATTGTAACTGCTTTTCAATATGTCGCCCCGCAAGGCCACATCCAGCTCAGCCCGCATGAGCCCAGATGAGAGGCGGCAGACCATCTCGGCTGTCCAGGACATGGCGGCAGTTTTGAAGAGCGCAACCAAACGGTGAAAATGCGACAACACGCAACGGTCAAGGTGCAAAATGGGATCGCGTGGCAAAGGGCAAACATGTAAAGCCCAAAAAAACACAACAAACACCAGACAGCACCAAAAACGGGGCAAGGCACACCCTGAGAAACGAGGCGCTTTGGTTGCGAGCGACGCGCCTGCGAATCCTGGGCATTGCAGATGAGTTGCTGGGCGAGGAACCATTCTTTCAATTTCCAACTAATCTTGATGTTCCAGTTTGTTCCACTAATATAGGGCGCTCCAATGTTTACAGAAACCACCATTGACCACTGACTGATTCACAATCAAAGGTTGTTGTCTTGTGTTTTGCAATGCCTAGCAAGTCTTGAGTATTAGCTAAATCCATGGGCGTGTTTGCGTGTGGCCTGGTTTGTCGGTTCTGTTTGGTTTGAATGCATCACGTCTCCATAGATATGTAGTGGATTTGGTTTACAATGAAAGGTGCCTGAACAGTATTCATGGGTGGCCAGGAACACGCCCGTGGTTGCTTGGGATTGCATCGTTGCAGGGGTATGCTTTTAGTTTTTAGATTGTTTTCCAATAGATCTAAAACATATGACTCTGAATGCTCATGGGTACTCCATTTAGTTGTGGACATACTCGTATCAGTAGCAACAGATGCAATCCTAAGTCGAATTCGCCCAATAGTGGCAAAAACTTTGTCCTCCATCGTGCACCGTAGCACGGGTGTCGAGAAAGCGTGGGCAGTGACAGTGGGAGCACGGGCATGTTGTCATCGTGTTGTCATCATATTGCCGTCATTCTCACTTCATTTCGTCATCTTGTTGTGACCCGTGTCGTGTGACCAGGCCTCCGCACTTCTCCATCTTCTTCGCCCACAAGGCTTGGCCCACCTCTTCACGATTTGAGCTTGACGGTTTGTGACGGTTTCAATCATACCGGCGGTTTCAATCAATCAACCGTATTAGTGACATGATGCTTGGCATTTGCGTTGTTTTCCAGATGTTGTTGCATCGCGTCGGATTGCCATGTTTGTTTCCCCTCCATTAGATTCACCTTTGGTGTCTTCAGGACTTCAACTGTGATAGTAATTTCTTAGATCGCATGTCTGCCATTTTTGACTTGGCATGCAGTGCGAGCCCAGGCCAGCGCAGGGGATGCCAATGATGTCTGAGATCAGGGTTGGCTTCTTGGTGAGCGCCTTGGTTATTGCATGTCTGCCATTTTCAACTTGGCCTGCAGCGTGAGCCAAGGTCCAGCGCATGGGGATGCCAATGGTGTTTGAGATCAGGGTTGGCTTCGAGGTTGGTTTGGCACCACAATGCTTGATTCTGTTGTTTGCTTGTGCTGCTGATTGGCAGGTGATGGTATGACTTGATCCAGGCGTGTTGCCCTTGACACACTTCGGACTTCAACCACCAACGGGCAGGCAGCTCCAATCAGCTCTTTCTGGCGGGCGCCTGCTTCCGGTCCTGTTTCGATGCTGCATCAACTGCCCCATGGATTGGGATGTCCCATTGGTAAAAGAGTGCTTGCAAGAGTACTTGCATCTCACACTCATTGCGATGCACTCTTACTTGGTCTTGAGAGTTGGGCGCGTCGGGCAAACATACTCCGCATGCTGTGCATGTTTGCACGCATGCATTCGTTGTATCAATGACCGCAGCCGTGCTCAGTCTTTCGCATTATTTTCTGTGCATGACACCAGGTGCAGATCGGGAAAGCGTTGCAGTTGCGTGAAAAGCAGTGTTTGCTATAGATATGTCAAACATCACTAAAGGTCAGACTAAACACGCGCTCTGTACTCATCTCGTTTTGTCGTCAGAAGTGCGCAAGCTCCCAATGGCTGCCAGCGGATCCAATGCCACACCGGGCAAGTTGCTCATCCAGGACCTTGAGAACATCCAGAGCTTCTTGGGGACGCAGAAGCGCGCTGTGAAACAAGAGCAGTTCACAAAGATGCTTGACAACCAGGTGAAAGCTTGGGTCACAAGAATCAACGAGATGAACATCAAACCGGAGGAAGCTGCGCGTGTGGGAGAGTTGCTGGGTGAGGGGCCATGGCTTGACCAGCACCACGAAGTCCTGTCGGAGGCTTTGGCGTCCAAAATGGATGGGGCCGCAGCTGGAAACCAAGCCAGGGCAAGACGACCTCTTCAGACGTTGACATGCTTTGCTGCCTACTTGACAGAAAGCGATTGCCAGATTTTGTCGGATCCAGATATTCACAACGTCAACAAGGTCCAGAGGTTGGTTGCCAAGTGTGTGAAGTTGGGCCTTCACTTGCCCAGAGAGACCACCACCAAGCAGATCATCAAGACCGCGATCGACTGCGCCTTGGATGCGTTGCAAGTTGCATAAAGTGTTTGTGGCGCCGTGACTCTTCCCCTTTCAATTTCGTTGTTGATTTGCCAGTGTGCATTGGGTGATTTTTCTTGGAAACAGTGTCTGTGCTCCAGGCGGCATGAAAGTGGGAGAAGGAGCAGACACCTTGAGGATTGTGAACGAGTTCAAGCAGCAGTTGAAGAGCAAAATCAAGCACATGGAGAAGAAGTCTTTGCTAGTGATGTTTCCTGACAACCCTGGGAAGCTGCCAAAAGATATATATGACGCAGTGTTTGAAGAGGAGCTGCCGTCGCCGCCCCAGAACAGTGCTGGTGCAGAGTCTTCGAAAGTGGTTGCAAGAAAATCGCACAGTTTGGTGAAGAAGGTGAGTCTGAATGACAACCCCATGAGCAGCATGATGCAGCAGATGGATCACATGATGAAGTCTAACATGGGCGGAGTGAACCCTATGATGCTGATGATGGCCGGCATTCAGCAGTTTATGGGTGCAGACAAAGGTGATGCGCATGGCGCGGCCAATTTGCAAATCTTTGGTAACAAGAGGAAGACAAAGGCATTGCCAAATGCCGCAGAAGCCGATCGAACATCGCCAGAGCAGAAAGCTTTGCTGGAGGGTGCGTTGGAAGATGATAGCCAAGAAAGTCGAAAGACGCAGTCAAGCGCAGCCGAAATGAAGCCACCGAACCAGAAACCAGCCTTTGAGGTCCCTATAGACGAGGAAGCTTCAGCAGCGTCGGCTTCCGCCAAGAAAAAGGCAAAGACACCAGAGGAGTATGTGAAGGTCTTCAAGACTGGCGTCCAGAGCCGTGAAAGAGCTCGCGCAGAGGCAAAGCAAGATGTGGATGAGCCAGAGGATGGAGCGGAGGCTTCGGAGCCGGAAGAAAAGCAGCCCAAGGCAAAGAAGAGAAGGTCAGAAGAGAAAGTTGCGGAGAAGAAGGAAGCAACCTTCAAGAAACCTGCGGCGAAGGAAAAAGCGAAGAAAGCTCCTGGTCCCAAGAAAGCGGCAGCTGCGCCTCAGGAAGGTGCTGCGGAAGGTGCTGTGGCGCGAAAGGATTTGGGCCCTAAGCCTGCTCCGCCAGACCCTTGGACAGAGACGTTCTTTTGGGGGACCGGCAAGATCCACAAGAACCCAAAGTCCGCGTGTTGGCGGGCCTTTGTCGACAAGGCGGACAGAATTGATCGAAAAGTGAAACTGGGCGATGACCATGTAAAATCGTTTCACCGTGCCCTTGAAATCATCGAGGAAGGCATGGCTGCCCGGGGCTTATGAGATTTGTGAGCGCAGTGTATCATGGCAAGACAAGGCATTGTTCGAGTTTCCGCCACTGCCGTAGTCACACCGTGAGCGCTTTTGATTTCAGATTTGAAACGGTGCAACGTAGATGTGTGAAGACAGACACAGGTATACAGCCTTAGCCGGTTTTCTTGTGACAACGCATCTTGACCTCAAAACGTTACCATGCATTTCCCGTTGCTTGTTTGAGACAGAGTGATGGCGCCAGTGAACCGGTTGAACTGTTGGGTCTGTGCTTGGGATCAAAGGCGAGGCCGCGGATTTCATTGCAACCACCGATTTGAGAACAGGATAGAACATAATTGCGCACGGTTTCCAATGTTAAATGCCAAATAGACACACGAAGATCAATCAATAGTTACGCGTATGCAAAGATAGATACATACATGTACATCTCGACAGCTCACTTTGATGCAAACTGCTTCACCTCCTAGCCGGGCGCTTCGCTCGCTGGGTTTTCTTCCATGTCCGCCAATGTTGGCCACCTTGGCAGGCGTAAGGGCATCTCTCGTTCTGGCCTGAGTACTGTTCTGGATGAGCTGAAGAAGAAGGATTTTCCAGATGCAACATCAAGACAGACGATCAAGAGACGGCGGGATGCAGACGTTGATGTGCAGACCCGGTACGGCAAACTCCTACAAGACTGGAAGGTCACGCTGCTGCCGGTGGGGAAGACGAAGAAAAAGTCTGGCTCGGTGACCAAGCCCAAGGAGATGAAGACTGTGGAGTTTCCTTTTGTGCAGCCAATACCTTTGCTTTGCCACATGTGTCTTGAGTGCCCAGAGTTTTCAAACATGATGTTGAAGGTGCTGGATCTGTATACGCCGAGCCAGTCGTCCCCACTCAGCTTGATTTGCTACAGTGATGGCATATCGCCTGGCAACGTCCTTGCGCACAACCAGACCCGCAAAGTTGAATGCGTATATTGGTCGATCAAAGAATTTGGTGACTTGGCGTTGTCTTTGGAAAAGAACTGGTTTCTGCTTGGAGTTGCAAGAACTGATCATGTTAAAAGGATGGCAGGAAAGATGTCGCAGTATTTCAGAGAGGCAGTGGAACGCTTTTTTTCTCCAGTGGATCTTCGACATGGAGTGCAGCTGGTGTTTCCCAATGGAGAGCGCAGGATGCTGTTCTGTGACCTGTCGATTGTGATTGGAGATGAGGTTGCGCTCAAAGAAAGTCTAGACATGAAGGGTGCGAGTGGCACTGTTTTGTGTCCACTATGCCGCAATCTTGTCGACTGGAAGAGCAAGCTGGACCGCCATTCGACGGATTTTGTTCCCAGCAACTCTACCACACTAGTTGGTGTGGACCTTCACTCGGATGAGACTCTGTTGGAGACTGTGAAATATTTGGCAAGTCACAGCAATGACGGTATGAGTAAAACTGCGTTCAAAAAGATGGAGCAGGCGTTGGGATTTAATCACAACTGTCATGGCCTACTGCATTCAGATATCTTGACACTCAAACCCGTCAGTTTTTTGATGTACGACTGGATGCATACCTATGCAGTTGGAGGTCTGTGGAATGTTGAGCTTGGCGCTTTGGTCGGCAAGCTGTCTGCGCATGGAGTCGGTCAGGAAAGGCTGCGTGACGAACTCAACAGATTCACCTGGCCATCTTACTTGTCCGGTCGAGGTGTGACTGGTGTGAACATATTCGCAAAAGAAGATCAGGATGGCGACATCAAATGCTCAGCAAGTGAATGTTTGAGCGTTTACTCTGTCGTCAGGTTCATCCTGTGGGAGTTGCGGAAGCACGGCGAGCTTGAAGCCTTGAAAGCAGAGTGTGCCAGTTACTTCAGGCTCTGCAGAGTCTTGGATTTACTTGTCCGGCAAAAAAAAGATGGCTGGGACCCTGAGGCTCTTCGACTGGCAATTGAGAGGCACTTGCAAGGGTATGTAGCTCTATATGAGCGTTTCCTGCCGAAACACCACTACGCGCTGCACCTGCCAGCTCAGTGCACCCAGCACAAGACTTTAGTCTCGTGCTGGGTGCACGAGCGCAAGCACAAGGAAATCAAACGCCACGCCAATCTCATTACGAACACATGGTCCAAGTTTGAAAGATCTGTCATAGTGGATGCAGTGGGTGACAGTCTGGATTCTCTTTCGGGCACGCCTGGTGAGCCATACTATGGAGGCTTGTGTAGCCCAGCTGCAGCAGGGCCTGCAATCAGCCAGGAATTTCACAAGCTTGGGTTCGACAGAGAAATTCGCGTGAGTCGAACTGCGTTTTTCAGTCCTGGCTCAAAGGCTTCAGCTGGCGATGTTGTCAGGCTGGTTGGCGATGCGGGTGATCAGTGTTTGGGCGAAGTGAATTTCTTTGCAACTGCCATGGGCAAGAACTTTTGCTGCGTTACGCAGTGGAACGCCTTGGGCAGCAACAAGTTCCAGAAGAGCGCCGAGAGTCTTGTGGCAGACCTGTCTCAGATAATGGATGTCTGTATTCACCGGGATGGCGCCACCTCCACGCCGTCAGTGGTTCCATCCACTACTTGGTGATGTGGCCCGCAGAGAAGTGTTGCAAGACGTGCCGGAGAAAACAAGCGCGTTGTTTTCTTGATTTTGGATGAGCCGCCGTTTTTTTCACATAGGTGTTTGTAAGCTTGCCGCAGCAAAGCAAACGATTTGCATGAACCGACTCCCGAACCCAATTTGGATGGTCATTTTTTGAAACACCCGTTTGACACTCGCGCATAAACAACTTGATGCACATGTGACAATTCAGTTTGGAACACACATGCATGCGTTTACACCTGTTTTGTCCAAAGCAAAAGCCACGGCAGCAGCAGATTGAAAGCGTGCAGCTACCGCCAAGTAATATGCGCTGCGAAACGTGAGACGTGCTATGTGTGTAGCTTAGCTATCTTTGTACATACCTAAGTTTACCAACGACGCTTATCCTACTTAGCGGCCTACTTGCTAAGTATGCCACGTGGACTTGGCAGACTTACGCAACCACTCTATCCTAGTTACTAAGTAGGCCCGGCAAACATAGCTTGCTTAGGTAACTAAGCCAAACCACTTACTAAGTGCTCCGCGGCCTACTTAGCGCCTATTCTTAAGTTCACATAGTAAGTCGGCCCGTAACTAGTTGCTAAGTTCGCCTCGTAAGTCTGCCAAGTCAAGTAGTAAGTTGCTTTAAGTTGCTACAAGTAGATAGCAACCAAGCCGGTCATCCAAGTAGTCGCGGTCCCGCCCGCTGGGGCTCGGGGCGTGCGCTCCAGGGACGTCCTTCTCGTCAAAGCGGCCGCGGTAGGCGTAGATGCCGCCGTAGAAGAGCAGCGAGTAGCGGCGGCCGCCTGCGGGGTTTTCCGCTCGCCCCGACCCCTGACTCGGCTTTTCCTCGTCGTCTTCCTCTTCCGGCTGCTCCTCTCCGCCCCCGGCCGCCTCAGCTCGAGCGAGCTCCAGCTGGCACACGACGTGGCGGCGGCCCTTGGGCGGCCCGACGGCAAACGGCTTGGGCAGCGGGAAGTCCATCCGCACCCAGCGCGAAAAATCCTTCCCAAAGTCGAAGCCGCGCGGCGTGGTCAAGAGGCCGAGCCGCGGAACCACGGCCAGTTCGCCGACGCGCTTCTTATGGTCCAGGACAAAGGTCACGAAGTCCAGCGCAGGGGACGGATCGGCGCCCGCGCAATAGACCGCCACGTTCCACGGCACGACGCCCACGTCGTCGGGGTCGATGACGCCTTGGGCCGGCGGGGCGCCGATGTTCAACTTGACGCGGAGAACTTTCGCGGACGTCCTTGTCGGGGTGCTCAAGCAGGGCCTCGCGCGAGAACTTCAGGGCCTTGCCGGGCCCAAACGCGTCCTTGGCGGAGCCCACAATCTGCACCTGCCACAGCGGGTCTCCAAGCCCTCGAAGAACGGGAAAGCCTTCCCCCACGGACGCACGGCGGCGAACAAGACGCCGGGGACCAACTGCGCCCCGCGAGCCTTCTTCGCCGTGCCGTTGAACTGCAGGCCGCTTGTCAAGAGGCGGCGCTTTGCGGGCATGGCTGCAAGGCGAGGGAGGTCCTGAAAGGATTCTAGCGGGCGCTAGGCTTGGACGCCGGAGTCCTGGGATAAAGCGGGCGACGCGGCTTCACACATTTCCCCTTCAAAGATCGCCCGGCCAAAGGGAAACCCGTTTTCAAATGTCCAGAGAGGTGACGCCAAAAACCATCGAAAATGGGAAACGCAGGGAACCCTGATCGAAGCCCCTCCTTAATAGCGCGCGCCCGCCGTCTTTTTCGCCGCTCCAAACACCGCGCCGAACTGCAAGAACTACGTCGGCCGGGCGGCTTCATCGCTCGGCCTCGGCCTCGCTCCCCGCCTTCTCTCCATCCGTCCCCGTCATCGCTTGGCTGTCGATTTGGGTCGGCGGCGTGCTTCCAGGGCGCGTCTTCTTGCCGCCGCCCTTGGGCCGCGCAGGCGGGGCGTCCTCGGCCGTCCTCCGGAAGATGTTAACTCCGACGGCGCCGGGCGGGCGCCAGTACGGGATCGGCTCCGCCAGGCGTTGCGGCGCGGTCAAGGCTAGCCCGCAGACGCGCCTTTCGTACGGCAGGGCCGCGTCCCGCGGCCACAGGTGCTGGTCCGCGAACTCGTGGAACTCTGCCTCGCTGAGGACGCGGGAGCCGGCGATGGTCACGCCGCCGTAGACCTTGCCGCCCATGCCCAGCCACACGCGGCCAAGCGCGTGCCTGGTCGCTCGTAGTTCCAAGGTCTTCTCGCCGCTCAACACAAGGTCCAGCCACGGCTGCCGCATCACCAGGACGCGATCTCCCACTGCAGGCACGCCCCCGTCCGCCATGAGTTGTGAGAACTAGGCCGCGAAAGGGGCTCGTTGCAAGAGCTGTGGCTACTTAGCAGCTGCGGCGGCCGCGAGATCGCGACGGCTGGCAAAGGCCGGGGCTCAAACGGCCAACTTCCGCAAGCCGACTCGACTCTCCAAATCGCTTTGCGCTTTTCCTGCGTCTTCAATGCAAACAGTCT